CAAAGAAATGCCCAGAGCTTTTGCCGAGAGTCCCGATGTCGTGTCAGGAGGACATCAACCAACACACCTCGTGGTTGAAGGCGTAGAATCCGAAACCCTAAACCCTAAAAGTTGTAGTTCCGCGGAGTTTCGTAGTTGTTTTCTTGCAGTTGTCTTCTACCTCGCACTTTACATGGGCACGTTAGGGGCTGTCTTATTGCGAAGTCTGCATCGCATGCAGGCATGCCTTTACTCTGGTCCATCTTGGATTTCTGGTCACAGAGCACCAGCTAACCCCGAGCCGCGCCCCTTTTCGACCTTCTAAACCCTAAATGGGCCGATTCAAGCTGGAACAGCAGCCAAAAACAGGTACCCTAAACCCCTAAACCCTAAACCTTAAACCCGAACCCAGGTACCCTCTTCACCAGCCAGTATGGGACCATGGCTACGTCGCTGGCTCAGCTCTGGGGTCAGAAAGATGGCTTCAACAGTAAGAGGTAGTATGCGGGAGACCCCTTAAAGGGGACCCTTCGTACTTCGTAACCCTACGTATGGCTCTCTTAAAAAGGGACCTTGTTCAGAGGGTCTATATCCCCAAGGGTCCCCCTCATCCTAACTCCCAGACAGCAAGAACGAGGGTTCAGTTCCGAGAGCTCGGGCCATGGGAATTGACGGCTACTGCGTTTCATGGATGTGCTTCCGTAAGGAGCAGGCTAGGACATTCGCCCCGCCCGCCCAAAACGGCAAAGGATTGGGAGCATTGGACGCTGATGCCTGCTGGCATGTGGGAGACTTAGTATCGGGTTGGCTTGGCGGTCCAGTCGCTTTACACCAGGTGTGCTGCTTCTCACTGCCCCTTGTGTTGAAAATCCTGACAAGGGCGTAGCCTTGCGTTGCGGTCGTGCGGTCGGAGCCCTGCAAGCCCCGCAAGCATGCTTGCGCAGATTTCACACCGTCTACTACGGTGAGTTTGCGCAGGCGGGCGGAGCTTGGGGAACCGCTGGGTTTGCCTAAAGGGTTCTTGGTCATTTTGAGATCTTGACAACCCGCAAAAACCCTAATTCCTAAACCCATCAACCCTTCTGGAGGAGCATGGGTGGGATAAGCTTTCGAAGGGCTCAGGGGCTCTACCCAGATCCGCGGCTTGAATATAAGGAATACAGAGCTCTTTGGTCATGTTCGAAAGGCGAATACAACCTATAGCACACCTAAATTCCCTAAGCCCCAAACCCTAATCTCTAAACCCTACAACCCCTACAAACGCTCTAGTCCCTGAAGCCTGTACTCCCTACACCCTGTACTCCCTAAATCCTAAACCTGATAAAAAAAAATCTCTAAACTCTGAATCTGCGAGTTCTTCTCTTTGGCTTGTAGCCCTAAGCCCTGAACCCTAAACCCTGAACCCTAAACACCAAAACCCAGGGATCATTGCACTTTAAGGAAAAACCCAAAACCCTAAACCCTCAACCCAAAACCCTGAACCCAACACCCTAAACCCTAAACAGACGGAAAAAGGCCCTGAACAACAAAAAACAAAACAAAAAACCTAAACCCAAAGGACTATCCTCCGTACTGGGCCTGGCTCCAGAGCTTCCCGCAACGTGGCGGGCGGAAGTGGGGTGCTTTAGGGAATTTCGGGGGTTTAGGGTCTGTATGATAGGGTGGTTTCGGGAATTTAGGGGGTTTAGAGTCTGTATGATAGGGTGGTTTAGGGATTCAGGTGTCTAAATTTGTATGATAGGGTGGTTTAGGGAATTTTGGTGGTTTAGGGTTTATATTAAAGAGTGGTTTAGGGATTTAGGGGTTTAGGGTTTATATTCTAGGGTGGCTTAGGGATTTAGGAGTTTAGGGTGGTGTAGGCTTTACGGGTTTTTGCTGGTTTAGGGTTCAGGGTGGTTAAGGGTTTAGGCTGGTTTAGGGCTTATTAGGTTTGGACATGGGGCACTCTTGCGAGGACAGGAGTGCCGCTGTGGGAAGCTGGCCAGCAGGCCACTAAACGCGTAGGTTGCAGTCTACTGTGATCTTCAAAACATACACGTGCAAGTCAAGCCAGGCATAAGATGTCACAAGGTTGATGTTTTGAGGCTCAGGGCCTATAGGGTTTAAGTTTTTACCTTTGAGTGTACAGGTTTTAGGGTGTTAGGTTGCCCATGCAGCGATTTTACGGTGCTCCCCTGGCGATGGGCAGACGACATTACACTTCGTCCGCCATCCTAGGAACCTGCAACCATAAATCTTAAACCGTAAGATTCCCTAAACACTGGGGTCGGAGACATGCGATGCTAAGGCCGAAAAAATGCAAAATAGTACAGGTACAAAACGACAGCTCGGCTTCTAGAAAGGACTTCCTGAAATCCATACATACTGTATCATGCTTGAAACCCTGTACAGCATAGCAAACAACATGCAATGTATGTCATGCAAATGCACTGCAGTGCAATGTAATGCCATGCCATGCTGCATAATGTAGTGCAACGAAAGCATGCATGTATAAACACGTACTTGATCTCCGTGAGCTTGAACGGTGGTGTAGTTTCGCACGGCAAAGTACAAGACCAACATAGAAGCCTACATGATTGCCAATATTATTCCTTAGGGCTCCTTATTATAACTATATATACTACGAAGGAACCCAAAACCCTTCTAATCATTAAAGCCCCTACATTACGTTTTCTAAGGCTTTGGGTGGCCTCACCCATCCTTGTTCTGGGTGCCATCGCGACGCGGCAGGGATTGGCGGTTTTGATCCGGAACGGTCCTTGCGGTAATGACTACAGTAATGGGTTCATGGCCCTAAACCCAAACCCTAATTAAACCCTAAACCCTCGCAGAAAAGGAAAGGTTCAGTAGTGAAATTCTTGGGCTCCGGCAGATGGCTCCGGGTCCGAAGCAAACCGTCATTCCAAACCCACGAGCGATTCTGGGGCCCTTAACACTGGTAGTAGCCCTGTTATAGACTATTGCTGTATGGGGGCAGTACCCAAGAAATAGGGTTGAGGGTTTGGGGTTTAGGGTCTGGAACCCCAAAACGAAGCATCCTAAACGGAGATACGTTCGGCAGAGCCAGACCTATCAAATCAATTGTCGGTAGTTTTCGCGCTCAACAAACCGGATCTTCTCACAGCTTTGCGGGGTTTTGGACATGTACCACAATACCGCACTGACGGTTTCTATGACTTTTCCCCGTTTGCTATCTGTGGATTCGATTGTACAAGTTTCAGCTTGAGCCGTGAGATACTCAGTTTGGGTACAAGTCATGCAGGTCTGGACGGCGGCGTGAACAATCCTATTCCCCTTGATGCATACCTCTCGTTGCTCTTCCACTCAACCAAATATCCAGCTGAATCCCGAATACTGAGTCGTCAGCTGAGATACTGTTGATGATATAATAAATGCTGCATTAGCTTAAGGGCCCTAAACTATGGGAATTATGGTATATTCCTCATTATGGGTAATGCAGGATTTAAATCATCAGCCGTAGGGACCTCCGGAAAAGCTAAAGCTGCACGTCAAACCCTGGATCCTGTGAACCCGGAATCCACGAAGCCGCTCTGCCCATCTGAGATCGCCACGGTCAGGGACTCAGTTTCGAAATTCTTCGTGGAATCTGGTAATAGTTTGGGGTTGAGCGTTCATTCCGACATGTGTCGAAGTGAAATACCGGGTTATGATGTCTTTGAAATGGAGACAAGAGCCATTGAGCCTTTCCCGACAAGGCTTGTGAGCATTGCAAGTGTAATGTTCGACATACAGCCCTAGGAACAACGGCAATATTAACACTACTGCAACACACACACACACACACACGCACGCGAAAACATAGACACGCAGACGCACACACACACACACATATATATATATATATGTATATACACACACACAACCAACACACACACACACACACCCACACGCACACGCACACGCACACACGCACACGCACACGCACACGCACACACACACACACACACACATGCACTCACGCAGATGCACGCATAGTGCGCATGCCGTGTACCAGGTGCTGGTGGAGCATGCTCAGGTTTTGGCAACGATAACACAGGGCTAAACTGAGCCTGCATGTGGCCTTCGAGACATAAGTAGTCTACAAAAATGGTATGCTGCAGCGTTTTTGTGCAATTTCAGGGCCACGACTGATGTTCAGAGTGTGGGTTTAAGCACCGATTTGGCGAGCCAGGGTTGTCGGTGCATCATAGCAGAGATGGGCAGCATCAGACATAGTGAGGATGTGGTTGAGCATATGTACTATACTGGCTTCAAGCGGTACAGTAGATGCACAGACTGCGTTATAGAACCCTGACAGTGTATTTCAGCGCTGGGTGGTTCAATCCCACCGCCTGCCACATGTGATTCTATCGTCAGACCGTCTTCCAGAATGCCGGCAGCGTGGGCATCAGGCAGGCTTCGTTCAAGTATGGTCACTACATACACCCGTGCTGCTGCTGCTGCGGCTGCTACTACTGACTACTTATTATACTACTACTACTACTACTACTACTACTAGTACCAGTACCAGTACTAGTGCTGCTACTACTACTAC